CTGCGTGATAGAATACCTCGAACGATGGTTTATTTCTTAGATATTAAGTTAAAGTATGATGTTAATTCTTAATGAAGCATAAAGATAATTATGTCTTGGAAAGCGACAGTAATGTGGTATCAGTAATGTCCATAATATTATCTAAATCACAATTTGAATTTTACAAGCATAATTTCAAATTATTATCTATATATATTCTTGAGAGACAAAATTCAATTTATTATCAAGCTTAATTTAACCTAATATGTATTTATGTTCTTTAGAATATATAGCTCATAAAATAAAAGTAATTTTATATACAGTGACTACGGAAACTGTTACTTGCAATCATTTAAAGTCAAAATTGTTTTTATTTACGTGATATACGCGTATATGCGGTTTGTAAACTTTGGAGACATTTAATAGAATGTTTGTTGCAATTATTACAAATATGACCAATAATCTTTTAAAAAACGAATAAAATTTATTCTTGATTGCTAATTTAGCAACTGTTTCTACTGACAGCTGCTGCTAGTAGTCATTTAATAACTAGAAGAAAGCCATAGCAATTAGTTTTGAAATGGAATAGTTCGAAGTCGTGCTGTGTATGGACAATCATTCTACCTTATAAGACAGAACTAGATAATTATGGTTAAGAATTAATAAGATGGATCGGTCAAATTATAAGCTAATACTGTTCGGCTTATTTTAGATAATACTCAGCTTTGAATTATTGATTATCATCTAAAGTCCGCGAATGCCTGATTGTACCAGTGATTACATTCTTAACTTTTCAAAAATCGTCTATTCGTAACCAGGAAGATTAGTGTGATATCCTAAGACGAATCCAGTAGAGACAGAATATTAAATTAGGAATTTATTCTTCCTTCTATATTATTGCACGGTTAAACAAAGTGTGTGGATATTTCCAAACACGACATTATGTAAAATTACTTCGTATTTTTTCTAAAAAGTTATTAGCCATTTTGTAAAGTAAGCTTGTCTACGCAATCTAAAAATGCAATAAATGCAACTGTTTCAATGGTTCTTATTTGTCAATTCTTTATTGCCAGTTCATCTACAGATAATTTGCGTGAGCAAATAAAACACTAAGTATTTATCATTTCTTGCAAGGTCTTTGATTCTGGCGCTTAAAATTAAATTTCAAGTCTTTTTTGAAGCACCCATAAAGATTGCTTTCACATGATGGAAACGGTTACAGTGATGAAACGCCTATTAGCTAACAACTCCATACTACTCTGCTATAGTCAAAAGGTATAAATAAACTCTCTACCTAGCTCACAGTATTTAAAGTTGTTACAAACACAATTGAAACTTAAAAATTCTTTCTCTATGTAAACTTTCCCGGCTCTACTGCTAACATAATATAACTACTATATACACTATCAATAATTGTACGTTAGGCGCTTCTACTCAATTAACTTCACTATACTTAGTAGTTATTCCCTATTCGTATTCCGAAGCAAAGTCTACAAGAACCCAGTATAGAAGATAAGTAGAAAGAATTAATTTATTCTTCTCTCTCTTTTGCCTATCTACTATATATTTATATGCTTTCTAAAATTTACAAATAAACTACAAGAACATATCTACAACATCAATTATCACAATTTCTTAACACAAAATATCCATTATCACTAAAATTTAAAGTTAAGTATCAATAAATTATCACAATATCTTAACCCACGGCATCCATTATCGCTAAACTTTAATATTAAATATCGATTATCACAATATCTTGACACAAAACATCCTATATTTACGTCTTGATTATGATATCGTGACAAACAGTTATTAAAACTGTTAAAGATCGCACTTTGGTTGTAGATATATACAATTCTGGATCTAATTAGAGCATCTTAATTATCTTTACTTCATAAAATACCCTAAATTAGTAATACGCTGGTCGTATAATTTTGAATAAATTATTCAAAAAATAATTATTGATACGCAAGATTTCGATCGTTCTGATTAGTAATGGACCAGCTTTGAAATCTACTTTAGTGTTATGTACATGAATGTAACATTCTTTGATTTCCACTTAACGAGATCAATCGTATTGATGTTAAATTTGCTTGATAATTATAGTTTATGTAGCGAGAGTTTATAGGACTTAAATGAACTATTGGTCATTTTTACACTGATAATTATTTATCATTCATCTGTCAATTCCAAGAGCAAAATTAATGCTGAAATGCACCATTGTGCGTTTTATTTAGTGTTATTATACTTCCTTAGAGATAATTTTTCTTGCATATTTTCTATGTTCGAAGTGCAGATCTTATTGACGATGAAGTAGGGCTTTGTTATTAACTATTTGACTATCCATAAAACTTAACATTAAGACTAAGACTGCTTACGAATAACGTAGCAATTCTATCATTTACTGATTAGGTGACTATAACTGCTCTAGCTTTCAGTGTGATTTAGTTGTATTATCAATAAATTGTTGGCCCAGCTTCTGTGGCTGTTTATCTCAAGATTTTGCTTTTGATTTAAGAAACCTGTTGCCATCAATTGTGATCAATCTGCTAGATTTTTGGGGACAATTACCTTACACTTTCTGTTCCTAATTTTGAGTAAGGCGACTTTTGACTTACCCATTATGAGTCAGCTTATATATAATTATTAGTCCTCTTTCGCATTATGCAGTCCGCGTAATATATTATTTTGTATTGCAAACTATAGTTAGGCTTGTCTGTGCTATGCTGTACCTAGATTCGATATTGCCTATTTGAAGGTTATTGTAGTCAAAGCTCATTTCTGCAGTAATCTAATTACGGCAATTTCGCTGCCTACTATCATGCTTGAGTCATCAAACTGTAGAACTTTCCTCAAACAGTTCATCAATATGTTTTACAGTACGAATCAGTTGCGTAAAATATCAAGACTCTTCTATTAATTTCGAATAGTATATAAGTGAAAGTGCGCAAATATTTCGGGTAATGCACGCTTTTACCAGAATAATAGGTGAAAGTGCGCATTATTTCATGTAATGCGCGCTTTATCTGCAGAAAGCGCGCATTAACCAATATGTTGGAGAAAGTGCACATTTCCAGCTAAAGCGCGCATTTACCATGATTATGGAGAATGCGCGCACCTTACGTCGAAGGCGCGCATTCGCCTAATGCTCACTTTTACCGTAACAAATGCAGTAGATGTTGGGTATCTTCACAGTATAGTAAGTCACATAAATCTTATGCCAGTTTTTTAACGCAAGATACTCTTAAGTGTACATCAAATTCTTGTACTAATTAATGATTGCTCTACTCATTTTTAACTCTGTAATAAAACTATTTTCAAATTTGATCTGCCTAAGATGATTACTTTGTGAGAATATGATTTAGAATGGACAGAATAGTGGTAAATGATGTTATTACAACACCTAATGTACATGTTAACTAACATAATTTATAGGCATTATCAGTTATAGCGAATATGTAGCTTCCATTGCATTTGATTCAATTACTTATTGATTCTTTTAAATTACCTTTAAATTAGAAGTTTTGTTAACAATGAAATACGCCCAAATTTATTACTTTAATGATAGTTACTCTAAAGATTGTCTTTGTTCATGATAGCTGAAACTACTTGATTATTTTATGAAAAAGTGCAGGTGTAGCTTTCAGTTTCTATTATTGCTCAATACCTAACGGTTAATACTTCCCGATTAGTTCAGCTTAATTAAATGTTAAAAACTATCACCAATGATAGTGTGATATACAGTAATTACTTATGTGCGCATAGTAATTTATTGTATAAGCATAGCTCTAGTCTACAGGACAGGATAACGATAAAATAGATGCATAGAATTGATTATCACTTGGTTACTTTAATAAAGATTTCTCTAACTATTCCTTCTCCAAAAGCATTCATGAATACAATAAAGCGTGGCCGAATTGATGTTGTTTAATAATAATTTCTTCATATTTATTTTAATTTAAATTAAGAAACTTTCAATGACCTCAATATAATTATCGTTTGGTGTAACTAAGCTACTTTAATAGCGATTTTATCTTCTTAACCTTCAGTCATATTTGATTACTTTAATAACTTGCGGACATGGTTTTCGTTGCTATTCTTTCGTTTATTTTACAAACAGGTTATGCTTATTCTAGCTTTTCTGCAGCCGATTCTAGTAATTGACCTAATTTTGCAAACATTTAAAGAACTTAATTAGTTTTCAACCTATGTCATGCAGCATTTATAAATTTATCCTTCGTAGCTCTATCTGCAGGTACTGGTGCGATCTTGATAGAAGTTAGTTGATTTTGCTTAGTTTGTCATACTTTTTATGATAAATTTATAGAAGTTTAATTAAAACTAATCCATATATGTTCTAGCTGATCTGTTGTCAGGTAATGATAGAGTAAGAGGTATTCAATTAAGGAGCGTTATGAATAAGCTTGAATGAATGTAATTAACAATAAAAATAATTGAATAATTGTTACCTGGAAACCTATAAGGTTGTAGAAATGGATCAATATTTATTGGTTTCACCGTGATTTATTATCATATCGTTTAATTTTCAAGCAAGGCCCTTTAATTTGAAAGAACAATAATATTATTTTAAGTCATCAATCAAATTCAACAGCAAATAAGAGTTTCAATGGAAGAATCATGTACCTAATTAATTAATTTCTGAGTATTATTAAAAGTGGAGATCGTGAGCTTATCACGAGGTTTTATCAAGTGAATATTTAATAACAGACATTTAGGTAATGGATTAATTAGTCTCTGAAAATACAATGCAGTTTACAGAAGCTATTTGATGATTGTCGACTATCCTATTTATATTGCCTTATTGAGTCATGTACAGTACATAATTTACTCGATTGCGACAGTATAAATAGCTGAACTTAGCTCCCTAACTTTACCAAATTCGTAAAGAATATAAATAGCGGATCACATAGAAAATTTTCTCAACTGGTTTGTCCTTTTCGATTGATGAGTTCTATTTCATTTGATATCAATTTACAATCTTCGCATACTTGAACAAGATGGAAGCTACTTCTACAGGTGATTTGGTTATTTGCTAATTTTTCAGTCCACAAAAAGTATTAATATGTGATTTATGGCGACACGAGTAAATAATTGATTTGTTAATGGTTTAAAGTTGTCAGCATTTATTTACGTAGAATTAATTGGCTACTATTAAAAACAATCGTGGAACAGAAATAGAACATCTAATTTGACACTAACAAACTCAATTTGATATTCTACTCTAGAATTGGTCACTGTCCCGAAAGAAGCATACTTTGAAGTAGATGGACATTACTTCGAACGAAGTGATGAATTGTATGATCTCAATCCTCTTACTGCCTGTTCTGCTTCTTTTGCTGACGGATTAGATGAGGTTGATGAAAATCCCGACCATGGTAAATGTCTCTTCTTAGATCGATCAATTATTCCATTTAATTGGTCAAATTATTTTTATTGTAAACTTTAAAACCAATTTAAAAATATATTTTCATTGATAATCAATTTACTATAGCTGAATTCGTATTTCAACAAGTCAATATTGCTAATTCACGTATCATCCTTGAATCTGATCCTGAATATCTGCTATGCTTGATTAAAATCAAAGAAAATACGAGTAGTTATGATCCGATCTTTGTGGTAAGTCTGTGATGGAAATACCTCTGTTAGGCAATCCTGCACAATGGTGCAATATACATACTTAAGCAGTTCACTTATGCTTACAATGTTGATTGCTAGCTATATTTACTGTATTTTATGAATCAACTTAAAACACAGTACGAGGTGTATGTCTAAAAAATGACTGAATTTTAGTTTTCTGTATAACCTTACGATTGTATACCGTAATAAAATTTTCGAAGTTATTTAGAAAAAGTAATATGATTAATTTGATATTTAGAATCAGATCCTTTCGTGGTTTTTTCATTTATAATAAGACATCAGCTAATCTTAATAAATTTTTCTATCACAGATTGAATGTAACAGGGTTCGGTAAAGTTTAATAGAATAGTATCATAAAAAAATGAAATGCATTTAAAGTATTTCATAGTTGTTTGACTTTAGTATTATTTAGCCATGATAATAATAATCTACGAATAAGTACCGCAGTAAAGTATTTCCATCATTACCTACTGTTATTTTCTGATTTAAAATAATTCTTACATGCTATAGAAAATAGACAGAGATATATCGGAAATCACGAAAATATTTAAAGAATGGAATAAGAAAGAGTCAGATAAGATTGTCTGGTTATTTTACCGATCTTACAATACTTGTAAAAATAAAGACGCACGATCGACTATAGTCCAATTGATAGCCGCTAGTAAGGAAAGTAATAGCAACGAAAGTAGCAGTGACAAAACTATCAAATTGGTAGCCTTCGATGCTGATGGAAAAGTTCGATTGGTAGATCGTGTGATGGGTTTTACACCACCTGAAAGTGATATAAGATTGGTCATGGACTAATAACGATCGATCATATAATTCATCGAGGAACGATTAGGAAATGATTATCAACCCTTCTCAGCTCTTTGCTATAGCTGATAAACATAAATTGATATGATAGAGTTTTAGCATTTCATAATGAAATAATCGAAATACTCAGTAAGAAACTTCATGAACAATAATACTGGTGGTGTATGTCTACGTATACTTAAATGCCGTCAATGATGGCTATCTATATTCGATATTAAAATAAAGTACTTTGATAATTCCTAAAAAAGTATATAAAGTAATTGTGTCTAGGGCAATGATAACAGAGTAGTATCAGCAATGCTTCAAGTATTTACTAAAATTGCAAACTTAAAATTCTCTTTTCTTATTTAGCATAATTTAACCCTAATATTTATAGACACTGTTGCGACTTGGTAAAAGTTCTACCAGTCTTTTCGCATATGCTGGTTCAAGGCGTAGATATCAAAGAGTACTCGTTACCCATAATTCGTAACGAACTATATTCTTAACTCTGCAACTTATTTATACGCTAATCCTATTCTATACACATACTCTCCTTATGTTTATGCAATATAGCATCAATGCGTACAACATGTCCTAGAACAACAAGTACTCATACCAGTGATATCTTATAATTATCGTAATGTAGAAGTTATACAAACGTAACAAACACTCTTTAAAGGATATATTTTTTGGATTGGTAGTATGTTGAATTATAGTGACTACGAAATATGTTACTATGTAAAATATTAAAACCCACAGTTTCATGTAATTTTTTGTGTAGCATACACGTATACTGCATATGACACGGCTAAAATCCGATCTCGGCTAATACACGTATGCTTATTAATAGCTAGCTATTATTAGTTACTTATAGTTGTACGGGTTTTATTCACTTTTCCTCTGAAAAATGATTGTAAACCTTGATGATTAAAACTAAACATACTTTAACTATAAAGTTGCGTAAGTAGCCCTAATTTGTAGCTTTTATACTAAGTATTCACTGATTAATATTATATGAGAGGGTAAGGCAATTTATTGGCGATTACTGTGGTCTTTAAATGGCCTAAAATATTATCACGATAATGGATATTCATATGCTTTTCTTTAAAAAGTAGAGCATAAAATAGCGTAGTGTATACTTCTGACAGTCGTTATGATTGTCTTCATCTGACGTACCACCATTATAATTTAGGTTAAAGGTTAATTTTTAGAAATATCATACTATCTTTATTGACAACAAAAGAAATGTAAACACTATCTATATATCAAATTAGATATCATTGTCTTCTGTTACTCTCTAAAATACGAAACAGATCTTTGAAAAATAACATGAATAACAAATTAAAACGTTAGTAATGATCGTTATATTTTCGGTACCATTTGTGATCGAGAGAAAGTGCTAGAATTATCTCAAGTCACTTCCAGACAGCTTACAAACTCTACAGTAACGACAAGATCGTATCCGCACTATAGCCTATAATAAAAGATCTATATTCTACCAAATCTTAGTGTAATTCTCTAAATGGCAGCTAAGTTTGCTACTACTGATTCATCAAATATTTCTATACAGTTGTTCACTACTGACAATCTCTTGTAAGTCCACAAATGTCTGATTCAATAATTGATTCTTGGTAACGCTATTAAACTAATTACTTACTATAATGTATGTTTTGTATAGTTGTATGGTTTTTATTCATTTTTCCTCTTAAAAATTGTATTGTAAGTTATGATGATTAAATTTAAGCATACTATAACCATAACTATAAATAATCTTGGTTTTTATTCTTTTACCTGCAATTTACTAATTAACTTTAAGAAGCGGTATACCAAAGTAATAGAATGGAAATTAAAATGATTTTAAATGGCCTAAGATATCATTACATTGTTGGAGAGTTATTTGCTCTTCTTTAGACAAGTATGGTACTGTATAGTCATTAATAATAGTACTGTATGAACATAAATGTTGCTGATATCAAGTTAAATACTATTATCTTCTGATATCCTCCACACAAGCAAGAGATCTTTAAAAATTACATGAATTATAGATTCAAAGTTTAGTAATAATTGCTATGCTATCGCCGGCACTTGTGATGGAGAGAAATTGTAGTTAATACGTTGCTTGCGTCCATTGATTTCAAGTTAGAACTTGAAGCGTAAAAATAATTGACGAATATAGGGAATATGTTAAATCTGGTAAATTACGGAATTTTATTCATCTTAATTAGAAGCCGTATAAATTATTTGCTTCGCATGAAATGATTTCAAATTCTGTGTATCCTAATAAAGTCTACAATGCTTATAATTATTAAAAATAATTTCATTATCCCACTCGTATATTGAATTGAAACTAGAAAAAAGAATTGACCTTGTTCAAGTAAAATCAATGATGCGGTACTTGAGTATGCTGTATTCCATTTAGCAAATTTTGTATTTAATACGTTGACATAATTGTAGGAATCAATGAAATAAAGTCTCATCTACCAGATACTGTACAAGCTTTAGAATGAGTTCAATTTTTATCATATAAGACTATTTTCAATTCTTTTATTCTCTATGGAAATAATAATTTGGCATGTTGGTATAATAAACTATGCAGCATATATTGGAGATAATTTTACTGTTTTAAAACGAATTTAATATTTAGTACTTCGCAATTCTATTATACTGCAGTTTAGAAACTCCTTACAGATGTTGCTATACAATTTGGCTATTACTATTTCTGTCGAGGTGAGGAGATCTTCAATGCGTCTTTCAATGACCGTCTTAAATACGACAAGTTACCGAACTAACTTTGTGAAGTAAAATTTGATGACGGTATTCGTAAAATCAGGAAGAAAGAAAATTTTGATGATAGTAAGATATGCTCTACAAGTGAAATTTATCTTTTCAAACGCCTATATTTATCACTATGATAACATAATCGAAAAGGGTAATTGTATTTAGTATTAGAAACTAGCTTTCTTCCTACGTAGTTTGAGGCTATTTTCTCTATCCTTCGACAGTATGACTAAATTGTAGTGATTCCATAAGATATATGCCTCCTTCAATTAAACCTAATAATCAAGTTAAATCATTATTTAGTTAATGTAGTACGTTAAATAATGTAATGTTGATCCAGGATCTATTAAGAGGAAATAGATTTCATGATTTACTGTTTCAGTTTTCCACCACATTTCCTTCCTAGTTTAAACTTTATAACCTAATTTCAGCCGATGAGGAAGATAATTATCAGTATTGTTACCCAGTTCAGCTACTAAATAATTCTATTAATGAATTCTACAACTAGATCAAGCTAAAGTAATTTTAATTTAGGATTGTTCATTGTTAAGAACACTATGTTCACTTATTAAAGGGTCTTATAGTTATTCATCACTAAGTGTGCTCAAAGCATAACAAGATTGTATTCATTTTTTCTGTTAAGTATAGGAATAGATGATTGCTACCACAATTTTTGTACTATATAATATAATGTAAAGGGTCTGCGAATCAAAGCATCTTATAGTATTGATTGCATATGTATTACTGGCATCCAATAGAAGTATTAGATTGCTTCGTATAAGCTTAGAACAGGCACTGTGAGGTTGATAGATCAAGAATCTTCAAAACTTTCGAAAATTAAGATTTATCGAACAAAACCTCGTTTACGAAGATACAACGTAATCGATTAGCGGAGGACCTCTAACGAGAAAGAACTATCTTACTATACTAAACTACTCGCTTATATACTTTTCCGTATTTAAAGTCTTAGCACCTTACTTACTACACACTTCAGTATTAGCATCTCAAATACAGGATAGTTTACACCTTTCATGTGAAGCTCTAGTGTGAGCTTCGTAGTGCTCCTCTTGAAAAGGATTACAGTTACTAAGATAGCTGTATTTAATACTTAAGCCTCTAACGACAATATCTATCACATGCTGAACGCAACATCTACGGTTGACATTACTAAATATATCATCAACTTAGAATACAATATTACACTGTCTTGCAGGCACATATTACCTAGTTTGAATGGTACATAAGGTAAAGAATACGAAAATTAAAGTCCATCATATTTTATATTATTGACCATCCTAGTATCGAATAATCGTGGAACTCTTTTGAGCTTAAACTTATGAAGCATGAGTATTGTCCAATTATCAAGAGGTTGTGGGAATTTCTTACCGCTGCTTTAGATCTTGCTATTTATAAAATAAGATTATTTCAAATCCCAATCATATTGTACTCTGCATGACTAATGTTTGCTTGATCACAATCAGTAATCAAATATATCTATCATTCTTATGTTTTATCATAATAAGGAAATTTATCAATATATTTGACAATCTTAACGTCTACCATGTTGGTAGTGTGTCAATCAACTGTGGTGGAAAGTATTGTATTGACATGTGATCGATAAATTTTTCCACGCTAACATAAAAATTTTGTTTTATTCAAAGTTCTATCTGACCTTTGAGTAAGACTTTGTCTCAAAAGTCTGCCTTGGAATACCAATTGACTGGCATTTTTAAATAACAGTAGCTTAAGATAGAAATTACTCTCTTAATCGTTGTGGAAGTCAGGGCTATTTTTAGCTTAAAACAGGCGGCAAGAGGAGATGCAATTCCTAAACTCTATTAAAGCTTATACTCCATAATGCTTTGAGTTGATGAAGAGTATGACTTGACACCAGCGAGTATAATTATGTAACCATCTCCGCCTATCAAATATTTCTCTCCAAAAAGAGCCTAGTGAAAGAAGTAATAATTGTGACATATTTAGTCATGTAACTTCGATCTTATTAAGACATCTAATGTTCTGATAAATTTGCCGCATAGTCTAAATCGAACAGTAGTAACCAAGAGTCCAGTCTAGCCTATGCCATTATTAATATATGCTATATACTCGTATAAGATAATACCATCCGATTGTCCTGCCTACACTGCAATAAAGTACAAATTGCATAGAAATCTATAGAACAGAATCGGTATTTGTTGGCAGCGAAACAATTTTCAGTTAGGACTAATACCCTCTCTTTCGATGTTTTTTCTTTTTTTTAGCCCATTTTTGCTTAATTTTAACCGATAGTACATTTGGACTTTTCATGACCTCATCTGAAAAGTCGTATCTACTGTGTCTAAATAGACTAAAATGTACTGATACCTACAAGTTCTTAATATTGGTAAGTAATAAATTTACCTCAGAAATAACATTCTACTTCTTGTCTAGATATTATACCAGTAGCGATGTAATTCAAAGGTAGAATTCTAAGGAATGTAGAACTAAACGGAATTAGAGCATATTATAACTATTTCCTAATCTTTAATGTATAAGCTATTAGTATTTATTCCATGATCGTAAAATTTAATATGATTTTAATCATTCTGATGTCATTGGCAGTGTTCATTTTGAATTTATATACAAATTTATTAGTAAAGATGTTGCAAGTGTTGTTAGAAGTTACCAAAACTCTTAAATTGCATGATAGTATGCAATTTTATACGAATTTAAGCCTTTTCTATATGGATTTGCTTGCTAGCAGTGGATGATATTTTGGAGCCTAATATGCTAGACTTAAAGTCTGTAAATATTTTACATTTAAATGGAAAGTGAACACTTTTCTTCATGAAATTATAAATTACTTTCGTTTCTAATTTGCCGCCATCCATACTCCAATAATCGTGATTAATTAAATAGCACGTGGAAAGAGCGCCATTGCAATGCATAGCACTATTTAACAGCTAGTATAGAAAGCCATAAGTTGTTACGTACTTGTATTCAAATCGTTGTGCCTGTTCTCCATAATGTTAAGCACTAGTAAGAATATTTTAATGCCTATCTAGTGATATTTCCCCATTTATATTAACATAGATCTTTTTCTTTAGAATAATAACGCCATTAGTTTGAAGCTCACTAAAATTTAATGCCTTTATTTAGAAACTGAATTCTCTTTATTCATCTATCGATACTTTTCAATTGGAAGCCGAAAAGTTGAACAATTATTATCATATAGATATCATTTACAAGGTAGATATCAGGCTTTTTCACACAAACCCGTTGGCAACGGTTGGATATTCTTTATCAATATGTACCTATTAAGGGCACTGCTAACAAAACAAAACTGCAAATTGCCGTTTTCAATCTCGATAAAACCGTAACCTTTGTTGATACTATTGACAATAATATTCCGAATATCGACTGAGTTTTGTGGTGTCTACGCTCCTACATAAAAACACCCTTGCCTAATAAGTAAAGGATAGAAAGGAAAATCGATTCAGAATAAAGTTCATATGAATGTATTGAAATCTTGATCTGACTTAAAACTACAGGGATCTTGGCATGAAATAGAGCTAATAAAACAATACAGCAATATACTTTATGGTAACAATTATCATAGTAAATAAAATGAACAATAACAAGCTACGAAGTTTTTTTATGTGAAATATTTGTTAACTAAACTACCAGAACATTATTCTATTCATGTGCCTTGTATACTAACGATAAAAGCTCAGAAACTTCTGCAACTTTGAGACAGCAGAGACTGATTCTGATCGATTTACCGTATCTCACATCTTGTAGGTGTAGATTCTCAATCATAAGTTAACGTCTATTAAATTGCTCATACATTTACAAAATTATGAATATGAAATGTAGCATAAACAAGACTAACTAACTCAGATAGCTATCAATGCCATTAAAAGAGATCCTATTTTAAGAGCTATACTGTATATACCTTTATGGCTGTGATCAAGCTACGGACTATAAAACTAGTTGAATAAGATAACAGTTATTATTTATGCCTCACAGATTCAAGTAGAAAATAACATACGGTATATTGGTGTCAAAAATCGCCCCTTACTACACCATTAGAAAGTAATTGATACATGTAAGCTGGCTAAAGATATTTTTACCATTTATATTTAACAATATATACAAATAAAAGTCTATCTATAGTTTGCTAGCTCTTATCTTCCGTAAGCATTGGGCGTTGAACGTATTTTTAAGAAAGAGCTTGGGCGTGGATTAGTGCATTCGGCTTTAATCCACCATTAGATAATTAAGAATTGTATTGTGATAATTCTATCCATCAACATTCGGCGTTATACCCTACATGTTATTTAAGATAGCCATTTCTTGACTACATATGTTTTTGCTACCTTCTACTCCAAGTTGCTCCGTTATTACTAGTTGTATAGCTTTCATTGAAAATTTATCATATGTCATTAAATATGAGTTATGTATCTAAATTTAAGCTATAGTTAAGGCTGGATGTCTTCAACTTTACGCTGGAAATTCTGTTATTATGATTGTCCAGGCAATTAGTGGACCTATTACCTTGGAATATTCTGGACGTTTCAGGCATCATAATTAGGTTTTTAATTTATAATCTTTGGCATTGAAATAAACGGCATTGTCAGACATTGAAGACATTTACAATAGACCGTTAAACTGTTTTGTTATAAATCCATTTAAACATTTCTCTCATTAGATAACATTGTTATTTCATGATTTTGATATTAAATAATTCTTAATGAACGTATGAATTGAATTATTAAGTTAGACAATGTCTATTTCTCTAGGTGCTCAACTACTTATAGTCATGGTGACATATCATCAGTTTCATAAAATATTAGAATTAAAGCAATTCCCATCTAGCTTCCTACTCTATTTTGTAAGCGTAACTTTTTCTCCAATATCGAATAATAATACTAACTGGACATAATAGATACGTTATCCTGTATTATTAGTAAACTTGGAATAATTTGACTTTGATAACATTTAGTAAAATGGGGTAACATGTAGCGCTTAATTGATGCCAGTAGTTAAATTGTTTATGTTCTCTATCGCCATGAAAATATATCTAGTAGGACCCTATCTATCCATTAGTGATTGGAATACCGACGAATTCTATTGAGTAATAGTCGATGTTGACAACAGCATCTAGAAGAATAAGTAGATAACTTTATTGATTTTTATATTATCCAAAGATCTGTTGAGCTTGATTATATCAGTGGATTAAAACTAATACAGCGGTGAAGGTTTCGATTGTGTAATATCGACACTTTATGCACCATTCATTTACTACATGAGATTTTACTGAGTTTCCATTACATAAATTTTAAATTTAAATAATTGGAATCTCGAAGATCGATATATTAAATGTAGATTAGTGAAGATAATTATAATAATGTCAAGTTGTGGAAATTGACTATAATTAGATATTCTACCGCTTGACCTGTTAAAAATCATGGAATAAACTAAAACCGTTTAAATTACCGCTTTCTTCGGCAATGATTCAAGATCAAATTACTGCAGCTTTTGAATATTATAATGTCGAGTAATATTGACCTTTACTTATGAAGGATAAATACTCTTTCCAAGAGAAGTGAAAATGCAGAGATGTTCGTACGATGACTAATTGATAGGAAATACAAAAGCCATGATGAATATCATAGATAGATTAGCGGCAATAAGTAATCGCAACTGAAGCAATAGCTTCAGTATTTAGATCTATATAAATAGTAAAGACGCAAAAAATTTTGCCATTACTTGCAGACAAGCAAGCAAAAGCGTTCTACTTGGTCAAGAAAAATCTAGATTTCATTTCACGTTTACCATAGTAAACTTTGAATTACAGCCTGTTGCCATATTGTGGTAAGATAAATAGATATTTAAGCTGCTTCTTTTATCAAGTGGGTTTGATTTTTATACAATCTGCAAAATTTGTCTAGCTGCACCTAATCTAAAGCTAAAGACTTTGCTTACTTAGTTTAAGAATATGAGGAACAATTCTATCTTTTCTTTTAGGTTAAAATTTTAAATTCTCCTACAAGCTGAAGAATACTTTAACCCTTTAACATTTCAAGTCTGTGCTTGAGCAATCCTTTATTACAGTCCAACATGTCAGGTAAGTTAATGGATTTTACTCCATATATATGCTGCAAAATTTTATTTTCAAAACTGAGCCTAAGACCGCTATATTTGCATAGAGTTAATAAGATAAAGCTCAGATTCAAACGTTCATTTCGATATCGTGCAATTATACATGATTTGTTCGATGGACAGTTTAAATTATATGAAAAATTTGCAAGAGAACCATCAATCGTCTCCATGACTGCAATAAAATTGCACTATAAATACCTTCAATTCTATGTTATAGCTGTCAAAATTGATTAATTTAATCTTGACTTATAGGAGATAAAAGTTCGAAAGCTTCTGAAGCAGCTGCTAGCCGAACAGTTATGCTGCTATGGAACGATCAATACGTGAATCGTACCAGACAAATGTCGAATTATGGATCCAATGCTGGTTTTGAAGTCACATTTTCTAGTATTTTAGAGAAAGTGGATCCTGAAGCTGGTATGATTTAGCTCTATTTAGATGTTGCTACTCATTCATCATCTTTACGTGATGATTGAGACTTTGATAGTTGCTATTAAAGGGTATGACATCTTTCAAGAACGCTATAATCTTTTTGAACTAGTTATCTCTAAATAGTAATTTTTTATTTAATACTAAGTGGAATTAATATTACATCAATATTTCAACCTTACCATTAGTGATTGCCGTTGGTGTAATTAGAAAAATTTAAGCAGCGGTTTTCTATTCATTTTTACCTCAACCATTAATTCTGCTACATGCTAACCTATCGTCAAGCAGAATAGTTGCAAGCTAAAATTGGAAAGTTGTAAATAATTACTACCCGAGTAATTTTTAAAGCCCCTGCCACTTAATCTTGCAGTTTTTACCATGATTATTACCAAACTACTGCCTATTATATCGTCAAGTGTAATGATAACATTCTATAACTGTCACATTGTAGCTCATTCCTATCTTTATGGGCACTAGATTCGATAATACAATTTTTATCGCGATTATTGGTATGATTAAAATGCTTTTTTCTGGTAACTGCACTCTATAAGCTTAATCAATATTAAAGAAAATTAAATAATTCCTATTTATCTTGACATTAATATTCAATCGTAAAATTGTATCATGAAAGTAGTCATACTACTGGAATTTCCAAGCATTAGATGTAATTGTGACAGGCCTATGTTTTGTATAATCGTAGATAAATCTCTTATTTTCATATATTGCGAATGAACAAAATTTTCCTTTCTAGTTCATTTCCAAATGCGACCCATGGATAAAGAAAAAGTCGCTTTCCTCTCTCTAACTAAGAATAGGCCAGAGGCTGCACTGTGCTTAATTCGACACCACAAAAGCAAAAATTATGAAGTTATATTCCTAGTAAGATTCAAAAATAGCTGATAGAGTTTTATTGGAATCCAATAAATTTCTAATCATTTCCTAGATGACACATTACTTACGTGAGAATGAAGATTTTTATACATGTAAACTTGCTTAAAATCGCAAAGTTCATTGCGGAAATATAATTTTTTGGACCATTAGCTAGATTATTTCGAAGTTTCATAACTTTATACCTTCATTCTATTGGATTACTTAAATAATAATGATTTCCAGCTGTTTGCAAGCTACGTAAAGTTGTAATGCCCATACTTTATGAAATCCAAGTCATTACCATACTAAAATAATAATTTTAGCTACATTATTTATACTTTAAAATCTTTCGATACCCTATTCTTAATCGGACTAATTCACAATGTCATATTAAATTTTATCATGCCAAAAATTGACGTATTGAGTATTTTTAGAGTCTTTAGGATTAAAAATAGCTTGCTGCTAATATCAGCTCAATTCTCTTTCGTCTATTTAGAGTGTTCCAATCATTGAAGAAGACGATACCAGAGACATAAGCACACGAATGGAGGATGCGATAAAGTCACTGACAGACCATGATGTCATTTGGAAATTTTCCATGCTCATGCTTGAGCCCTATATGGGAGAACAGCAAATGGCATTTCAAGTCGTTGATCGCGCTTATTACCCTAATGATACCATTTTCTTCTTTGCTCATGGGACTGCAGCTTTGTTCAAAAGACCTAGAAACTACATTCCACGAGACAGCATCTTTTCGATCTTACCAGCTGTAAAGTAACAAGTTGATTCATTAAAGAGATACAGTTACGTAGGTAAGGATAAATTATACCGGATTGGCTAAGATCGATCCTTTTGCTGCCTAAACAACAATTTATAATGCAGCTAATTGTTACTTTTAGATATAGTCCAGAAGATAAGCTAGAGAAGAAGAACATGACGTAGCACATAAGATACTAATTCCTAATTTTACTGGTGCTTTCAGATTTCAAATAGACGCGTAGTCCATGTTTCGTGTTATGATAAGAAATCTTTAAATGGTATATTTGATAGAATAAAAAGCACAAGCTACACCAATTAAAAAATCTCTTCCCTTGCAAAATTCCTGAAATCGAGATTTTATAGAATTGTACATTTGCAGAGGTGTTTTATATAAACATATGAAATTTTTTTGAAATTAGGCGGGTAAAAGTATTTTAAAGAATGAGTGAAAATTATTCTTGATTGCTTCTTTAGCGATTACTCCCGCCGATACCTCTTGATAGCAATAATTTGGAGAGAAAGCTACGTTAATCGCGTTAGAAAAGTAATATTATTCTTGATTGCTTCTCTAGCAATCATTCCTACCGATACTTTTTATCAGTATTAATTTAGCAAGAAAGCTGTGGTAATCGCTTTAGAAAAGGAATAGTTCGAATGAAAATTATTCTTGATTGCTTCTCTAGCAATTGCTCCCGTTGATACCTTTCGCTAGTATTAATTTAGTAAGAAAGCTACGGTAAGCATTTTAAAAAGGGATAGCTGCAGTAAAACTTATTCTTGGTTGCTTCCCAAGCAATTGTTCCTACTAATACCTTTTGCTAGTATTAATTTATTAAAGAAGCTACGGCAATTACTTTAGAAAAGTAATGATCCGTAGGTGCAGTATAGATGACAATTACATGGAACTGCATTACGAAACATATATTTAATTGCAGACTTGTACTAAGCATATAGTTTATATAGAAGCATGCGGTAACTTTTCGGAAATAAAATGGCCTAAAATCTTCGAAACAATGAGTGAAATGTGACTACGATTGCCTCTCTAGCAATTTCTCCTCTTGATACTTCTTATCAGTATTAGTTTAGTAGGAAAGCTTTGGTAATCGCTTTAGAAAAGAAATAGTTTGACTAATAATTATTTTTGACTGCTTCTCTAGCTATGGCTACCACTTATAACGCTTTTCAGTTATAAATCAGTAAGAAAGCTACGATAATCGAATTAGAAAAGAATGGCTCGTAGATTTGTTATCATTGCATGGTATACTGTAGGTTAGTAAAGTCTCATTAAATTGCAGACTTATAGAGGCATTTTATATAAACATGTGGAGATTTTTTGAAATAAGACGACTAAAAATCTTTTAAAGAATGAGTGAAAATGGATATCAATAAATGAATATCTCATATAATCGGATTAGAAAAAAATGGCTCGTAAGTTTATTATACTTGCATTGTATAGGCTAGTAAAGTCTTATTAAATTGCAGACTTGTAGAGACATTATATAGGAATATGTGGAGACTTTTTGAAATAAGACGAATTAAATTTCATATAAAGAATGAGTGAAAACATTTCTTACTTTTCTAGCACTTAGTCCAACACATACCTGTTATCGTTCGGAATATATTGACCAAGATAGAACTATATAGTTCACAAAGTACACCGACTATTGGGTTAGCCTGATTAATTGCTTCACTAACTCACGGACAGACTTAGCACCCCTAGGTTAGCAAATACTTTATTGGCGGCCTCAAGACACTAGATGTAATGAAGACTTAAGGATAACCTAGTACATATAGATCCTAAACAACTGCCTAATGATTCAAGATTAGCTACCTCCAAAGAATAACTCAAAGTGAACAACTATGAACGCATAACTAAGAGTACTAATGTAGTGTATTTAGAATATACTGTAATTATATTCTACTCTATAGACATGTTGTATTGATCTTATATTTAGACATATCTACAGTCTGTTCGCTCTACATTCAAATTTGGCTTACTACATTTAGTTATTACAGTCCTCGCTATTTTCTACAATCATCTGTTATTCAATAACCTGTTATGGTATATGTTGTATCTAATCCTACAATCATGTTCTCTGCATGTGTTCTAATGCCATAGCTATAAATACTGCCGTTTTCTACCTTAGATTTCTTAAGTTGCATTATTAGTTACAGTTAGTATTCACATTTTACTCACAGCAGCTACCACGCTGACCTACCGTAATTATCACACTGTACCTAACTACTATCTACAATAAAGTATCCTCTTTTCTTAGGCTCCTTGTGCAATTCTCTGCATGGCTACTAAAACCATATTATCCGACTCTTCGAACCCTCCATCGCAAAGCCAAATGCATTTTATTAACTTTCCGCTTCAATTTCTTATGCAATGACTGAATACTTAAGTTTCAGTCCTGTTTTATCGTCTAATATTTGATATGTTAGCTTGAGATTAAATTTTTAGCCAATTTTCTGCAATTCACATTACTTCTGTTGTGTTATTAATTTATAAAAGCGCCAAAAAAAGAAAATGCAATCTCCATTTTAACAAAAAAGACCAATATCGTTTGAAATCTATTTCTAAATTTTGAAGTCCGCATTCTTTTACTGATAATCACTTTTATATTGCTTTTAAAATTGCAACTTAAAGATCTGCGCTAAAAATTTTATAAGCCACCAAGCAAAGCCAAATTGAGTTAGCATTCACATTAGCTAAAGGGCTATTATCAAATTTAAATCAGATTCGAAATGTAAACGTTACAAAGAAATAGCGATCTAAACAGTTTTGACTAATAATAAAGAAGAGTTCGAGGACAAATTATCCCGTTGATTTCTGACTGCCTTAATGACTTTTATTTCAACTATATACTAGAAAATTTTATTACCCTAGATGTTAAGGTAATTGGCGATTCATTTAGGAATGTTCGAGACATTTTTGATCATCATGATGACGATGTTTATAATCTACTTATATATATGGCTAAACAAACATATTATCGCAAATTGAAGGTAATAATAACAGATTATTGATGCTTTACTTTTATCTATTCGAAAAATTCTATTGAAAAACTTTAAGTGGCAGATTAAGATTGTTCTTTCACCATTTGAATATTTGATAGTTCTCATGGAATGGATGAATTGAAATACGGAGCTAAGTCAACAATATCTATTTCGGCTAGCGATTAGCTAATAAAGCAGAATGCAATCATTAATTATTTAAAATGTTTTCAATAAAGTACTTCCCGTCTAACATTGCCTTTTGAAGGACAATTTATTCCCCTATATCCAATAATACTCAATGGACACAATCTACCTATAGCCCAACGCCAATTAACAAAATTGGAATGATTCTAAATTGGATCACTTACTGTATAATAAAGCAGTGGAAAAGACCAGTTACAGATGGGTGATTAAGCTATCCATGTTGCCTAACGAGATGAGAAATGCCTTGCAAAAGGATATCTACCGACCGATACCGCCTTGAATTGTAGTCTACGTATCTTCATTGTAGAATGGCGTATTGCAGTGATTTGCCAACTGGTATCTCAGATTATTAACGAAGGTTATCATGCAGTAAACACTTTCTTGTGTACAGCGGCCTTAAGCATAATTAATTTTTTTTTCATTCTTAAGTCACCAAAATGACCTTAGGACTGATACTTCATCAAAGCAAAGGCAGCTCGTATAGAAAACAGGTTTCCTTGCTGGACATTCACGTTCTAATTTATAGTTTATTTATTACGTGAGATTTTATACACTTCTCGTAGCTTTAATTTTAACTTTATTGTTATGATCTCGTAGACTGATTAATTAATGAAGGAAATTACAATAAAATCCACATCATTAAACTTTTCCTTCATCAGATATCCGGGCGTTAGATTAGTTAAAAAATTAATTAAAAAACTAAAAAAATTTGGGCTTACCGCTATCTTTACCAATGACTTATAACTTATTCATATTGCCGTAATGTTATAATAATCAATATTCTAGATAAATCACAAACCATAATTCTGGGAGAAGTGAGAATAAAAAGATATTAAAAGCTATGGTTAATTGATATGAAAGGCTAATTATTAATATTATAGAGATTTAACTGCAGTGAGTATCGTAATAAAAATAAAATTTTTCGACCTTTATAAATAATGAGGACGTAAGTTTTTCTACTATAACTTGTTGTCAATCAAGCCGAAGACATCTACTTGATCAAGGAAAATCTCAATTTTAGGCTGCATATTGCCTGATAAGCTTTGAATTTTAGTCAGTAAACATATCGCGGTAAGACCATAAAGACATATAAATTTCTACTTTTATAAAGTCGATTTGATTTTGAAATATTAGGCTACAATTTGCTCAACTATATATAATTGTAACTATAAATTGCTGCCAATCTAGTTTAAAGAATATAAAAAAATCGTAAAATTCTTTTCAGGTGAAAACTTTGGAAAGAACTAAAAATTCAAAAATACTTTAAACCTTTTCCATTTCAAGCCCGTACTTGTGCATACTTATAATACAATTCAATATGTCGGGTAAATTGACGAGACTTACTAGGAACTGTTACAAAATTTTCCAACCAGCAATTTATGCTTAAAAAATCTATATTCGAGTAGGATTAGTGAGATAGAACTCAAATTCCAAACACTGATTTTGTTGTCTTAAAAATATAAATTGGCTAGTTAGATGGGAAATTCAATTAGTTATATGACGAAATTTACACTAGTATTATTACCCGTATCCATGGCAGTAATGAAATTACTTATAGATACTTTCGATTCTAAGATGGAATTGTTAAGATTCATCTTCTGATTTCGGCTTTTAGCAGATGAACATGCGAAAGTTTCTGAGGCATCTAGTGCCCGAACAGTTATGTTACTGTGGAATGATCAATATTTGATTCGCAGTACAGAAATTATACCATATGGATCCAGTATTGGTTTTGAAGCCGTTTTTTCAAGCATAATAGATAAATTGGATCCTGAAGCTGGTATGATTAAGCTTTCTTTTCGATGTTGGTATTCT